ACTGTTGTTTTTCATTTTATCAACTAGAAATGATATGTAACGCTTGTTGATGCAATTCCAATTAATAGAAAATTTTATAAAAACCTTCGATTAATTAAGTCATTTGACTTTAAAATTTCTATTGCATTCTTCAAATCAGTATTTATTCATTGTATTCAAATGCATTTTTCGACATCTGTAGCCTATGGTTTAATAGGTTAAATTGTTACTTCATCAGTATTACACGTGGTTTCTTTTAAACTATTTTAAATATAAATTAGTGAATTGCAAAATTAATCATAGAAAATAGGAAAACTATTGAACTGAAAGGTTTTCGGTAGTAAAAAATTAACTACAATAATCAAAAAATGGTAAAAATTTCTCCAACGGTCTAGGTTGCACAATCTCCAAACAACGTGAGATATTTTTTTTAGTTAAAATGAACAAGCCGTTTCGGTTTGGCGTTAAGTTCTGGAACATCCTGTATAATTGCACATATTTAAAAATAAATTAATTCCTCGTTATTTCAAAACCGGTAATTTTTACCATTGTCCATTTGGCTTCGGAGCAAAAGCACGTTCAAAATTTACGACGAACTTTTATTTCCTCGAGTTTTTAATGCGATTACATCTCGGTCCTTGTGGAAGATTTCGGCAGAATTATTATTAAATCGTCTTTTTATATTTTACGTTCGTATCCAGATTTCGATAAACGTGTTTCTGTCTTTATTCATGAAACATGGTTCATTTCAGACTTCAATGATATCAGATGAGACATGAATGCTTAATAAAACAACAATGGGTTTATTGTTATTAAATAACAACAAATTTAGTAACAATAACGTAATTTGAACATATGTGTACAAAATGTAATGGATAATTAAATAAATATATTGCAGGTCCCATATGGACAAAGAAATTTATCTGCATTCAGCAATTAGAGAGATTCTTCAATTGTAGAAGCTGATATAAAAAAATTGTTAAACTTATTAATATGTATGAAGTTATATATTTTATATATATGAAGTTATTCTTGAGTTTGATATTAAGATGTGCAATAAATCTTCAGGGCAGCTAGATCAAGTAAAAATTTAATAATTTCAGAAAATCTTTATTGCCAGTTTATTATGTCGAAATTATCTGATTGTTCAAAAATTATGTAGAAACGACTGACAAAAGTATTTCTACAAATCTTTGAATATTATTTATTCAAATTATAAGCAATTTAATTAAATAGCTATTTATAAAATAATATTCTTGTTTTCTTTAAATTGACATATCTAAGTACTCCTAAAACAAAAAAGAGCTCAAATTTTCCTCAAAATATTATTACAAAAATTTTAACTGAGCTTTTTGATGTGTTTTTAAAAAAATAATATTTATATATTAAATCAAAGTACTTTATTTTTATTGATTTATATGGACAACAAAACAGTTTATTCTTTGAAATTTAAATTGACATATCTAAGTGCTTCCAAAACAAAAAAGAGAGCTCAAATTTTCTTCAAAATATTATTACAAAAATTATAACTAAACTTTTTTATGTTTTTCTTTGAATTCATTTTATTGTACGACGTATTTTAGTACTTTGTATTTAATAAATATCATTACATTGATAATAAACAAATCATCAACACAAAATTATTAAAAATCTTCCATGTTAATCGAGAAATAATTTTAGGTAACTTTTTGCTGTGCTCTGATGATTATATAATTTCCATAAATTTATTGAAAACATCATTAATGACAAATAAATTGAATATTTTTTGTCAAATAATCGTATAAAAAAATTTGTTTTTATACTCTGTACTAAATATAGACTTATAATATTTATAGGCAGATAAATAGAATTTTTGTAAAGGAATGAACAACTAAATCTTTTGATGCAATTAAAATTATAAATGTAATCAAAAATAATTATTTTTTATAAAAATACTTAAATGTATATATATATATATATATATAAATATATAATTTTAAAGTTCACAATTTTTTTAAATTTCTGTACAATTTAAAAAAAAAGCAAAATAGAGTTCTCTTTATAAGGGGCAGGTAAAATCTTGTTGTAATTTATTTATATTATAATTTTTATTATTATCATTTTATTATTATAGTATATCCTAATATATTAATATGTAAAAACAAATAAAATACATTAATGCAAGAAAATTACCTATCCGATGTGAAATTATCATATATGATACAAAGTGTAAAATTGCAAAAATATGCATAAATGATTTGTTTTGACAATAGGTTAGTTTATGTAAGTACCAGCTTACAAAAAACTAATAATATTACATTAACTTGTTTATTGATGTTTTTTTAAACTTTTATCATAATCATCAACTGTAGCAATTATTTATGTAAATGATTAGAAATAAATATACAAATATGTGAGCGCGTGTTTACTCATAAATAACCATTAGTGAATTAATTATTTATGTTTGTTGTACATGTGGGCCACAACTTGATCTTTCCACACAAATCGTAAACAAACGCAAAAAAAAACTATTTTATTAATGAATTATAAATTCTGAATTGATTAAACTCAAATGAAAATAATTTTCAAAATACCTAAAACGATTGTCTCACTAATAATATATTTCAAATTGTCTATATGGATTTCTATTAGTAGGCAGATAAAAACTGATCTCTAGTTAACATGACCTGAATACAGAGATTATAATTAGGAAAAAAACTAAAGTTAATACCATTCAATTGGCGCGAAAAACTAACTAATGATCAGTAACATGAACTATTAAATCGAACAGGACCGCATTGGAAATATTAGAATAATTGGGATCGAAAAAAATTTGCAAATGGTAGATGACTCACGGTTTAAAACTATTGTAACTAATCGTATTACCAGTTATAGTAATCGCAAAAAAATCGAAAATAATTTTTTTATATATCTTTACGTTTCAAAGGTTTCTGAACAATTTGGCATACCTCAACAATAATAGATGTACGTACATGTGTATGATTGTATGTGTGTATGCGTGAGCGGATACGAATTTTAGTCGACGATTTCTAGAACACGGATTAACCGATTTTAAAGATTCAAACAAAACATTCAACTCTTATTGATAGGTACACGTACTGATTAGTTTTGAGAAAGGCAAGTCCAGCAGTTTCGGAGATCCAATAAAATAGTGAAAAAAATTAACATTTGCGGTCAAAAATGATCATTAGAAATATGCACATCAAATTATCAGATATTTTATAGAGATTTAAATTATAAGTACAAATTTCTATGGGTTTACAATTCTATGGGTTCTGTACCAATGTTTATCCGTTAGACTTACGCAGCGCTTACGCGCTTCAATATTTTGTCTCTAGAACAGCAACGCGTTTATTTTGAAAAAAGTTCAAAATTTTCAAAAAAATTAAAAAATGTAAAAAGTCCTATTTTTTTCAAAAATTTCAAAATTATCAAAAACCAAATTTCTCAGTTTTCGAAAATGTTTGAAGCTTTTTAAAGAAATTTAATTTTCGCTATGGAAAATTCCAGCAATTTTCAGAGCGATATGCCATGCACCGCTAGTTAATATTTTTTTCATTTTAATTTTTTTTATTAACCAAGTTTGAGAATTTAGCCACTAATAATGTTTTTATTTTTTATATACTATTATACAACGTTGGAAATATTTTTATTGAAATTTTATTTATTGAAGAAAATATATAAATTACCAAAAATTTAGAATAAAATTAATTTGTGCATTTTCATGATACAATTGAAAAATATGCAAAATTCTGCAATTCTGATAGCTTTTGTCCTTAACTGTTATTTAACACCAGGATGGGCTCAAATATTATGAACTAACTTGAAATCATAAAAGAAATGCGAATAAATTGATCGAGTTTTTCCAATAGGCTAACGTTAATTTATTTGCATATAAAAGAAAAACAACATACAATAGTCAATTACAGAAATGGCATTTTAATATTTATTTTCCCCGAAGGACAGTGTTACAATGCATCGATTAATCCTGCCCTAAATGCGAATTCTCATCGAATGTTGAAAAACAATTAACAATGCAAGTCTAATTGTTGATTGAAAATACATGTTAGAAAATGTCAAGTTAACGCTATGCAAATCTCATAATAATTATACAAAATCGATTCGGATTCTAATTACGAGAAACACTGCGCAATTTAAAGTTCAAACGCATTTAGAGTCGATGGTTAAATGATAAAATTGCGTTGGTCAGGGATTAAACTAACTTGGCTAATTATAATAATTATCAATTGTTTGTTTTATAGAACTCAGTCTGTACTATTTTAATAGATAGATTAGAAATAGATTTAGTATTTTGGTTTCATATAGGGTAGGGCGAGGCACAAAGGTTCAATTTGACTTTGAGCAATTATAAACAAACAACTATCTGACTATGTTCAGTACAACTCTCAGCTAATTCATCATAGTAGAAATTTAGCTGTTTTTCAAAAATTTGTCACCTGGTCTTATTCACAACAAAAGTGGTGTAAAATTGGACGGCTAAGAGGTCCAATGCCCTTTTTTTATCTAATGCAGAGTATAAATGTCATGGGACAATTTTTACAGAGATAACACTGTATATAACCTTGATCTGGTATTTTGTCAAAAATATTCATCAGCAGAGTTGAAATAACTATCATTTTCATTTTTAATATTCATTGTAAAATTGATTTTTTAACTTGATTTACTTTTATTAAAATTATTTGTTGTTTATAATTATTAATTATTTGTTATTTTTTGTTATTAATAGTTTCTGAAAAAAAAGATAATAATAATATAAATACTTTTTTTATTAAAAAAGGAGCTATTCAAAAAAATTAAGTAGATAGTTTTTTGCCATTGAGGCACATCAAAAATCCGGTTTTATGAGTCATTTCAGTAAAAATTTATATTAGCCAATTTTGGGTTTGTTGTTTTTAATATTATGAAAAATTGATTTATTTATTTATTTAATTTTTTCATCATACGAGTCAATAAAGTATTATAGTTGGTCAATAATCTATTATTATTAATTAATAACTTACCTCGTAAAATAGCCAGCAACTAAATATCACTTGAAATAAATTGTATACTATAAGTGTATATTTAAGTTGGAATGGTTTGCGATTTTCCATTAGTTTTGGTCCAATAACCTGAAATTACAATTCAGTTTCAGTACAATAAATTTTATGAAGTGTTAAATAATGCATTTGGAATTTTAATGTTAATTTTATTAAAAATAATAAAATTATAGAAGAATGGTATTTGGTAATATTGAATATTTTAAATTTCGAGTAAATTAAAAGACAATTACTATTAATCTGCAATCACATTAAATTTGAAATTTTTATTAAAAATAATAAAATTATAGAAAAATGTATTTGCCAATATAATCAATATTAATTTTTGAGTAAATTAAGAGTGAATAACAATTAATCTGCAATTGCATTAGATTCAAAATTTTAATGTAATTTTTATTGAAAATGATAAAGTTATAAAAGAATGTTATTTTCCAATATTGAATCTATTAATTTTCGATTAACTGAAGGAACAATGACTTTATCTGATAATTGTGATTTTTTAAGTTCAACTACTTAATTAATTTTCTACAATGGATAAAAAATAAAGAAAAAAAATTTCTATAAGTCGCAAACTTCTCAGACCACCTTTGTAATTGGCAAATATTTTATTTAAAAAAAAATCTAGTTCTGCTATAGTTATCAATTGAAGCCAAAATGTATTAAATGAGCTATTCAAGTTTGTCAATAATTATAGAGCCATTAAATATAATCAATTTATATCAAAAAAATTGTAAGGTAGTAAAATTGGAAGAGATGGTGAAACAAAATTAGCAATTTCATTAAAACATAATATTGAATTTATTCTATTTTTGTTATATTAATCATCAGTTAAAAACAAAGAAGAATATATTAAAGAAATTATTAATATCATTATTCAAAAAATATATCAATAAAGCTATTAATATTTAAAATTACTGTTATTTATTTATTTATTTATTTATTCATAAGCAAGCCGTAATCAATAATAATAGATATTATTTCAGGCTCTTGTCAAGCTTATTCATAGTTAATATTAAAAGGACAGTAATTTTATAATAATCATAGTAGCTGCACAAATTTCGCTTCTAAAAAAAGAGCTGAAAAAAAGCATTCGAACATTAAATACAATGTTCATCATCAAGTTTATCATATTAAAATCTATTTGACCACCAGTCAAGCTCAAAATTCTGGCACAAGGTTTAAAGTTATACTCATTTAAAACCGTAAAAAAATTAAATTAATAAAATAGCAATAAAAAAAATTAAAAAAAAAAATGGTTGTACAGGCGATCAAATGGTCAGACTACATAGATAAAGGATAAGGATTATGCAAGAAAATAGTTATTGAAATCAAATTAAGAAAATTCAGTAATGTCATAAAAAGCTAATTCTTCAAAAAGTTTAACTAGGGAAGCATGATTAAATAATATTTATATTTAAAAAAAATGATAAAGTATTTGGAGAAGATTATGAACAAAATTAGCAATCTGTTATATTTTTGTAATATTTATTATCAAGAAAAAAACAAAAATAAAGAATATATTGAACTTTCTGAACAGTTGTGGGACCATTTTTTTTTTGCAGTCATTTGAAGGACTGCCAATTTTTTATACAGTTGAATGACATGGATCTAATTCCTATTGGTGCATAAAAACAGAGTTAGATCTTCGTATCCTTTATCTAATTTCTGAATCTTTTATCATTTACCTTGACGAAGTAGGCGTAGCTCAGGCATATAAAAAGCGTAGGGAATGGCGAAGACATCATGGGCCAGCCGTTGACCCGCTGGTCGCTCTTGTTGTCCATGAGGTCATGGTATCCGTCCCAAACGCTCCGTATTATCGTAGCCATTCTGAAACAGAACGCGTACATATCATCACAGATTCCGCATGTGCAAGGACATTCGAAAGAAAAATAACATTTTGCGTCTATAATATCCAAGTGCCGTCGTGCGTCTGCTAACTTATAACTAGTCACTTAAGTAGACCATCAATATTCATAACACCGAACCCGGGCTCCTTAGATTTTATCGACTACTCGGGTGGACGCTTTGAGACAATGAAAACATTTATGATTTAGACCACACATGAAGGTAATGATAATAGAAGTACTAGATATTATAAATTTTTAATATTGACTGTCTTTCTCTTCATCAATTTCAACCAGCGAAAAAGTAACAAAATACCATCAGTCAATGAATGTATGTTAATTTTAATTGCATGAAGTTCTTCAAATACAATTACATTAGAGAACAATATTTGTTTAGGCGTTGTTTAACATAATCCACTTTGTGAACGAATATTATAAAATTTATTAATCAGCAATTACTTCATTTCTCTCATGAAGGTTCATTTCTAAATGCTAATTACAATGACAAACCGATCATGTCATATATGAAGTATGACTTTAATTACATTATTGTTTTTAAATATTAAACATATTTTTAATGCTGTTATAAATATGTAATTTATAATTTATCAAAATTACAAGAATACAGAAAAACAAAAAAAAGTTAATAATTTTGAAAATTAGCAGTTGCTGAAGTGTCCCAAAAAAATGATACGTCACCGTGCCTACGATTGCACCCCTCCTAATAATCCGAAATAAAAAAAATGATTACTAATTTAGAATGTTACCGCTATGGTATATACTATATACTACGGACAAACAGAAAAAAATTTGGCAAAATGGCGACTGTTTGAAAAAAAAACTGTTCTTGAAATCACTTTCTTGAGTTTCTCGATTTTTTAAACAGTAGACATTGAAATTTGGGGTTGAGTCTAGTTTATATCAGAAAGCAGTCTATAAAGAAGATTCTTTGAAAATTTCAAGTAAATGGGTTCAGTAAAGCTCTAGAAATCGTAGGCATCAGATTGAAAAAGAAACGGTTTTGAGAAAAACGCGTTTGAAGTTTCATAAATGGAAGGAAACATTAGGAGATTGTTATGGTCAAACAGCTGTATCTCCAGAAATAATTTAGATTTTTAAAAAATCCTCTCGTACACATATTCTGGAATAGTTAAATTTTGAAAATATTAAACAAATAGATTTGTTTTTTCTGAACACCAATCAAAACCAGGTGATCATAAATCAAGTCGGTTTTTAGAGAAAAAAAAGTCATAACATTGGAATCTTTGTAATCGATTTTTAAGTGTTTTATACATTCATATAATTATTTAATAAATAAATTTACTAAAATTCGTAACCCCGGCGTGATGTGTACTTTTGGTTTGATTTATTCTACAACCTAATTTTGAAATACGAGATAAAATGGGATTTTAGTATGGGTTTTTATAAAAATAATGGGCAGTACTGCTCTGAGTCAGGTCCGTGAACTGAGTTGAACCCCAACTCGATTCAGGGAAAAATAGTGTGAGAGATTTTTCATTGCCATTTCACACCGCAGTGCCCGAAATGGGATAATTTCGGGCAAGTAAAAATGGTCATTCCTACTTCATGATATCAGGTTGTCTAAAGTAGGAGTTTTGTAGCGTATTTGACACCTTATTTTTCATTCATTCATATGATTATTCATTTTTTAGTAAATAAATTTACGAAAATTGGTGACCTCGACGTGTTATGAAAAGGTTATTCTAAACTATGCTTTAAGGCGTGTACTTTTGGCTTGATTCAGTTCACAACCACTTCTTTAATAAAAAAACGAGTTAAAATTTATACAAATTTAAATATAATGAATTATAATTGATATTTCAAATGCTATGGTAATTGTATGACAATTTGATGCTATTCGATCATCATCCACTCTACGCTTCTTAAATTATAATAGATTTCTCTACAAATTATAAAAATTTTAATTTTTTTTAAATAAATCAATTTCTTACTGATATATATTGGTTGCTCACCCACTCGGACAAAAAAAAAAGTTAAATTTTCAACACTACATGACGAAAGAAATATTTGTTTTAGTAGAAATACTATAGGCACCTTAATTTCCGATATGATGTTTACTGAAAATAAAATATTTTGATAACAATATTACTAATATTTCTAAAATAATTCCAAATATTGGATCGACAAATATCAATCGTAATGTGTAAATTGCATTTTATAAGTAATTTGTGCATCAACATTTTATGAACGCATGAAAATTGAATTATCGTGGGATACATATAGTTCTTGATAATATTTATTCAAATATTTTTAATAACCATTATTTTTGTAATTTGTCATATATAATTTAATTTTCAAATATACTACACCTATTCCATTACCATGCTCCTCTGACTCATCAAATTTAATATTTCCCAATAAACTCAACCTACCTTGAATCAAAGTACAACGTATTAAAATATCAAATGATTTAGTTTATATGATACAAATTCAATTAAAATTTGTAAATAGTGGCAATATTACCGATTTATGCATTAGCATAAATTCCAATGGCCTGGGTACAATATTCTGTGAATTGAACTCAGATTATTTATTTACAATTTACATTGCACAATCATCTTGATTTGTAACATGTAATCCGTAGCTCTAAGCGATATTTAAATCGACATGCACTTGTGGAATTCAATAATCGATTCGAACTTGCTTAATAACCGACCAAGATTAATATAATTGAAAAAATAAAATTGGATTTAGTAGTTAGTTCGAACGTTCCAGGTTCAACACCCGCTTCGGGCAGCCTGATGTCAAGTAGTGGTGACATCTATATCGCTTAAAATCAGTTCAAATTAAATTTATTTGCACAAGTTCAATGAGAAAGACAGGATCATTTGAACTGATTGTAAGTGAAATCTTTTACCAAATTTTGTGCTATTTTTAAGTTTTTATTTTTTGCTCTTTTTTTACTGAAACTTACCAAGGTACTTAATTACACTTTTTTCAAAGCATTGCCTTTTAAAGTCAGAATTTTTGAAATTTTAAATTCATAGATTAACAAATAGACCTAATTCCAGAAAACTTGGAGAAATTGTGTTATTATTTGGGCTGTGGTCCTAGAAATGACATTTAGGGTTACGAATCCAGAGTTTAATTAAATAAAAATAAACCATAGTAACCAAATGTCGCCACAGTTTAACCTGAACGTAAACGCCCCTAATTTACAAATTGCATGACTTTTTTTCTAATTGTATTCATGATAGTAACAGTCAACGTTTGGGTTTGATGTTGAGTTCTGGGACACTCTGTTATATATATATATATATATATATATATATATATATTAGTGGTAATTTATATTTTAGGTACTCCGTTTAGAAAGTTAAGCAATCCGTAAATGTGCATACGATTTGAAAACCACAATTGACCGTTATGGATCATAATGACTATTTCGACAGCATATTGACATAGAATAATATATAAATAAAATTATGTATTCGAAAGTTCAAACCAATAAATTTAACATACACGAATGTAATTTACTTGAACCTTATGGGTAATAAATTTACAATACCTATACGTTCAATCGAAACCATTACACATTATGGCAGTTATTATCATAAATATATGAAAATTTTATAATTCACTTATTTGCAAACCCAGAACAGAATATACTCAGTTATTAGGCTTAGATCAAATTTGGGATAATAATTTTATTTTCCATCAAAAGTTATTTAAAAAGGACATAAAAAATATGACCAGAAACTCCTTATATAAGCGCGTGTGTTAATTTCTATGGATGGAAAATCCTATTAATACATAATGAACTTTTTTGATCAAGGTTCTTTTACACATGCACTCGGTTTAGGTTTAATGTATTCCACAATTATGAAAATTACATAGCTTATATAAAGCATAGTGTTAATTACAGTATGCAGAACAAGGTAATCATAATATTCCCATAAATGTTATGTCTAAAATCATTAGTGGCAATAGGATCGAAATATCATCGTGACTTTCATAAAAAAAATATTGTGTACCATTGAACATTAGCTATTGCGTCAATCATTAACATAATGGAGAACAAGAGCAAGTTTGTAATATATTTTTTCAATAAAAAGACTATTTAGGAATATTTTTGAGTTGAATTAAGTTGTTTGATTAAGATTCAATCTATAAACGTCATCCAATTAATGTGAGAGAAGCATATACATAAAAATAATACTCACAGAAAAAAATGCAAAGAATTCTCAGAACATAATACACCATGGTTTGCACATATATTTTGTATTAACGAATTCACATTGTTCACAATTTTCTAATAATTGAAATTAACTAACGTTATCAGACCGATATGCGAACGAGTTAATAAAATCTACATTTTACAAACTTACGTAAATAAAACTCTCAAAACATCTGAATTTGAACATTTCTATTTTATTACCTATCATAAAAATTATAACGACGTCAGTAAATGTGTTGAAAGACATTATGCTGAAATATGCCAATCTATGATGGATTAAAATATCGTTGACTTTAATTATAAATGAATGTAAATTATTTATTTATTATTCATGTAATTTTGAAATATAAAGTTTAAAATCGAACATATTCGATAAGATGAAATTTATGGCCTATTCTCGGCTAACTTAGTCATGTTATGTTATCAGTCTTAAGTGGTGTTCAAGATTTGTTTTTTCTTTTGTTTTGTTTGATAAATCATATTTTCTTGAGTTTGTCTCTCAATGTGTTGGCAGTCGCAAAATGGCCGAAAAACACTACATATGGTGTTTATACGAGCGTTTATTTAAAATTTTGATACTGCTGAAAACTAACCTCCAAAAGTCAACATAACGTTAGGTACACTTACGGCATACTTATCTATAAGTGCACGGCTTTAGTACCTATTGTTTTGAACTGCTTAATGTTATCTCCAAAGCTTTAATTAATTTTTATAATTCAACTACTTCTCACAGGCCTATAATATTTTAAGGTGTTCGATTCGAC